TTATGATTGTGTTTTACTTTGTGCAGTCTTAAATAATCATAGTACAGCTTTAATGAAAATGAAGCAAGCTATACAAGAGCATGCAGAGGTGCATTTTCAGAAGAGACATTAATTCCCTCCTGGCAGCTCAGACTTTAATAACATCTTCTATGAACATTCATCTTTTTAACTTTAGTTTGGTGGAGGAGACAGGGAACACTTTGAGGTGTTGGAAAATATTACATCTCTTTCATTTTCGCTGCTGGAAAATTCTCTGGTCATGAGATGTTTGAACTTAACACTTTATATTATTACGTTAATGTCATCAAGACCACAACTGTGACAACACCTACTCAAAGACTCAAGTACAGATAGAAACCATGATTTTTTTTTTCAGATATAGAGTTGATATGAAAAGATATGAAGACAACATCCTATTTAATGCTTGCTTAGTATGAGGATTGCTGTATAGTCACTGACACTAGTCAGTGACTTGATGCAATTTGCTGGGTTCCTTATATAGGAAACATTATTTCTAATTGGCTTAATGAACTGTGAATTGGAATGTTTATTATGTGAAGTGCCTTGAGACGACTCTTGTCGTGATTTGGCGCTATATAAATAAACTTGAATTGAATTGAATTGAATTGAATTTAAAATAGCTACAGGAACTACATGGACATCACATAAAGGCCCTTAAACTACATGATCTGCATCACAACACTGGCAGTAATTAGAAAATACGTGTATCTCACTCACACTTTTAATGTTAGACTTTTAAACTAAGATTCTTTTATGTTGAGAAACGATGTTGTTGTACATGTGAAACTCAAATTCTTAGGGTATTGTGCAAAATTCCATTTATTCCAGTAATGAAATTTAGACTGAGAGACCATCTAAAGGCTCAGGAACCCTTCGCAGGTGTAGTGGGTTCATCAGCTGATAAGAGTGTGACACCTGAAACTTTTCACAATACAGTGATCCCTCGCTACTTCGCGGTTCGTTTATCGCAGATTCACGACTTCGCGGATTTTTTCTTTGGAGCCTTATTCAAGGGAAATTTGCCGATTCGCGGCATTTTTCTATGCAAAATATCAAGAAATTCCTGTTTTTTTTTAATCAATTTCACCATAAAATGCACTTTTTGTAATAACACTATAAAAAAACCAAGTAAAATTTTTTTTTTCTTGAGTTTTACCCACAAAAAGAGAATGTGATCATACGATAATTCAAGATAGTACTGTACTGTAAATATGGTGTCCCTACTTCGCGGATTTTCACCTATCGCGGCCAGGTCTGGAACACATCCACCGCGATAAACGAGGGCTCACTGTATTCTAATTGTCTGAGATTTTGCCTGTGGGGTTTTCAGAAGCTGTAAGCCATAATCATCACAAACAAATAAATGCTTTAAATATCTGGCTTTGCATGTGATGAGTCTATCCCATGTATTAGTTTCACTTTGAATTAATGAAATCAACAACAGTATATTTTGCACGGTAATTTTTTGAGTTTCACCTGTACCTGTCAAAATCCTAATACACCTGTATTTGTTTTGGTCAAACGTTATGTTAATCTAATAATAAAAGATCTTAGGTGTGTGACGTTAATGTGACTACTTCATCCAATTTTTCCCAGTATCTGTAAAACTGATAGAAACAGCTCAAACTGTTCAATAGTCAGCTAAGAAGAGATGTTGCCTGATCAGCTCAGAACACACAACCTTAGTCCTTTATTTAATTCTGATCCATCTCCAGATATATCTGACCAATAAGCAAATAGTAATGCCTGTATTTGTGTAGCGTCTTCTTAGGGTACTAAGAAGTACAAACAATCAGTCATTGGTGGTGATGAGCTACAATGTAGCCACAGCTGTGCTGGGGCGCACTGACTGAGGCGAGGCCTGCAGAACACTGGTACCACCGGTCCCTCCGACCAAGCGGACCGAATGTTCTCACCTGGATTTTGAGCTGATTGGAGGACGTGCAAGGTAGTGCCCAGCTGGCACTGGCTACCATATTTTGTCTTTAGCCAATCACAGTAGCATTGACGTATACCATGTGCACCTGGAAAGCAACAACGACTCGCTCAAGCTTCATTCATTCACTCAAGTGGCAAATATCATGTCTTCAGGTGATTTTTTGCTGGTTTAGCGAGAATGTGCACATAAAGGGTGTTTTAGTCACACAGTTATGTTATTCGAACCTGCTAAAGAGAGCGTCAACCGTGCGTTTGTTTAGCTCAGCCGGGTACAAGCGGTACAAGATGGATTCTCCTGAGTTTGGAAAACTCCAAATCTCCTGAGAATTCATCTTGCAGCGCAAGGTTAATTAGAATAAACAAGTGCCCTAAGATTTTACAGGCTGGTGGGAATACACTTTTTTTTCAGCGTATTGTGACATCTGTATGTTTAAGTTCAAAATTAATGATTATGATTAAAATATGAAAGAAGCAGTCACAGTGTTTGTTTTATCCCAAGGTTTGTCATTAACAGATGCACAGCAGTACATAGTAAAACATTTTCATCAGAATTTGTTGTTTAACATGAACAAGAGTTTATTTATCACCTGAATGTAAATAGAAGAGACCTCTGAGGTTCTTCTTCTCTTACAAATGCCTGAAGTTTCAAAAAATGCAGCTCTGAATCTGCTAACCAGCCTGAAACGCACTCACCTCATCATCAGACACTACCGTCCACCCATCCATTTGTTATCAGATGAGCTCTTCTGCTTCTGTCTTTTCCTCGTATTTCCGTGACAGATTGAAATCAATATAAATTCTCATTCTTGTAATGAACCACCATGTAGATGTGATTCTGTTATCTGGGACTCGTCTTTTGTAGTGTTTGAGGTTCACTTTTGTCTATTTTCTTTTGTTTAAGCTGTTTATGAGTGATATTTCAAATATTTACACTCCAACAAGTAACTGCGTTGTCAGAGTTAATCCTCGTGTCACGTTATAGCAAACGTTTACTTTCTCAATTGTCTTTAATTGCATATTTTATAGTAAAACCGAATGATTGCTCAAACTGACATTTAAATTTATATGAACTTGATGCTCAGATCCTTCAGAGTATAATGGTGGGGCAGCATTGAGCTGAAACCTTTATGTTTAAAAATAAACATATTTTTTTAGCTGAGGAGAGCAGTTGCTTTTGACATCATTTAAAGAGCAAGTCAAGCCCTACCAGAGGCTATATCTACTCCCACTTCATGTTTGAAAAATGCAACAAATGCTGTTGCCTGGCAGACCGAGAAGGCGGAGCTGCTTACAAATACACAACCACACAGGCTCACAACAGCATTGTGACATCATAATGTACCAGTTTACATCATAGCATACCTCTTAGCCAATAGCGGTGGCAGATTTAAATTAAAATACAGTGCAGAGTTTTTACCTGACAACGGCACAACACTGCCAGTTTAAAGAGCAAGTCACCCCCAAATCTACTTTTTTTGCTGATAAACTAAATAAACGAGTGTCTAATTGTGCTACAGACACGTGTCGTCAATAATTTGGCACTTCAGTGGATCTTAGTTAAAATTTAAATATTCTGCCTAAAACTGGCAGTGTTGTGCCGTTGTCAGGTAAACACTATGCACTGTATTTGAATTTAAATCTGCCACCGCTGTTGGCTAAGAGGTATGCTATGATGTAACCTGGTACATTATGATGTCACAATGCCGTTGTGAGCCTGTGTGTGTGTGTATTTGTTAGCGGCTCCGCCCTCTCTGTCTGCTAGGCAACAGCATTTGTTGCATTTTTCAAACAGGAAGTGAGAGTTGATTAAGAATCTGGTAGGGGTGACTTGCTCTTTAATTACTGTCCAAAACAAGTTTTCCTGTAATACTACATCTGCTGGGTTCCTTATGTAGGAACCTTTTTATTGACTGGCTTAATGAGATGAACTGTATTGGAATGTTTACTGTGTAAAGTGCCTTGAGACGACTTTGTCATGATTTGGCGCTATGTAAATAAACTGAATTGAATTGAATTACGTTCTAAAAACAAATTCAAAACAACCCATTGAGTTTATTTTGGTAACCAGTTTTTAGTGAAATTTGCACCAACCACACCCGGGGTTCTTTTAAAACCAAGTGGGTCGTGTTTTTGATTTGATGCACTATTCTGCCCAAGAATTACCCCAGAAATGGTGTAATACAGGGGTGTCAAACTCATTTTAGCTCAGGGGCCACATTGAGGGAAATCTAGTCCCAAGTGGGCCGGACCGGTAAATAAAAAAAAAAAAACTTCAGATTGTTTTCTTTGTTTTAATACAATCAATATAAAACAAGGCTGGAGCCTGAGGACAGTATAGTACAAGTACAACACCTGAAGTGTACTTGAAAATTTGAAAAAAAAAAAAAAAAAATCAATCAATAAAAAAACATTCCTTAGTGATTCAAAGAGCTTACAGATCACATGGCTAGATCAGTTTCATGCAGCACTTAAAGTATATTTGACTCATTTTACTTTACATATTTTAGCTTTCACCAGCACATCAATATCAGAAGTCACGTCCTGAGTGGCGGCCAACTTCAGGATGTGATTCAAGTTCTTGTGTGAGCCTTGAGCGCAGCTTTGTTTTATTTATACTCATTACAGAGGAAATTGCTCACAAAGATAATTTTATTTTCACTCTACATTGTAAAGAATGAAAATAAAGTTTAAACAACCGTCTCGCGGGCCGGATTAAACCCGCTTGCGGGCCGAATCCGGCCCGCGGGCCACATCTTTGACACCCCTGGTGTAATAGGACCAACGTTTATCGTACAACTGACTTGAAGAGAATAACCCATAATGTGGGTGATTACGCCAAAAATATCAGGGATATTGGACATTTTCGGTTAAAATAATGAGGTTTTATTATAATTATACATGTGCAAAAATAAATAAAAACCTATCAGGAATTTCATTTGTAAAATGTAGACACAATGATAAAAGTATGAAAAAAGGCACACAGTCTCACAGAATGAACCCAGCAGCTTTTAGAATGTAAATGAGCTCAACAGGTACATGACTCATTTTAGGGTATTTAATATTTTATTGAACAGTGCATATTTACACATTTGAAAAAGGCAATGCTCAAACATATCTTGTCTGTTGATGAAATACATCATATCAAAATGTCAGCTGTTTGCCATGAAGGTCATTATGCACAAATGAGTCTCAGTAACAGGAAGCAGAACATGTCACAGAGACAAATCTGCTTCCAAAAGACTGACAAGATCATTTCCTTCTACCCATCTGGCCTTCCTGTGTGCCTTTCACTGTGGATGGATGAAAACCAATTGCACTTGATTTATTTCTGACAATCATTTTCTACTTGGAATTGATTTAGCAATCATTAGCTCATCAACAAATGCGTTTCAAATACATTTTCTCAAATGATGAACCTTGATTTTATTAAATTTGAAAATATTGAGTCAATAAATGTATTTAATAAAAAGAAAGAGCAATTTACAGCTTTGGTAATGCAAAGAGGGTAACTTGTAATATCTCTGAATACTGTGTTTCTGCTTTTATGACCTTTCTTCACTCACCATTTCTATTCCAAGGTGGAGCAAAGTGCTGCCTCAGGCATTATACAACTACACAAGCTGCATCGTTTTTGTTCTGTACACACATGAACAGCATTTGCGAGTAGCTGTGCAAACAGGGGGAAATATTCAGACATTTCTCTTGCAAATTGTCAGAAACATGGTGAGAAGAATTAGAATAAGTTTGCCTTCAGCACAAACCTGAAAGAATCTTAACTCTCTGTACAAAACTTGGACATTATGCCAAATAGAAAACATTTAGTCACATTCTGATGTCACTAATGTGTTTGCATTTCATTAGATTTTGCTGTAAATACATGTAGCAAACCAAGCCTGACCAACCACAGAGCTGTTAGAACGGTTTAGACTCTGTTCAGTCCACTGAAGTACTTGGACACTCTGACACAAGAACAGCCATGCTTAGAACAATATTTACTTCTGGAGAAATTCAGGCCTTTTCAATGGCTGCACGCATTATTTGGTGAAAAATGTTTTATTTTAAATAAATAAAAATGTCTCGTCATTTTCTGCTTATTCTAGTCTGGGTTGTAGGGGAAGCAGCACTCACAAGGGTTCACCGACTGTCCTCTCCACACCACTTCCACTGGCTCCTTCAGTGGGATCTCAACATACGCCCAGTAGTTCTCATTTTGGCTGCCTTCAATTGCAATCTTCTTTCCATCATTTCCAAAAGCTTGTGACACTGAAATAGGTGAGAGCTGGAATGAAAATTGACTGGTAAATCAAAATCTTCCCCTATCAGCTGAGCTCTCTCCTCACATTAGACCCATTTTGGGTTCTCCTCCTTGCAGACGCCGCCTTAATCTGCCCATCGACCTCATGTTTCCTCCTTGCCTAACTGGTTAACAAGATCCCAAGATACTTGGGAAACTTGCTCTGCTTGAGGTAGGATGTCTCCACCAACCTTTTCAGATTGAGAACCATGTTCTCAGATTTGGAGGTGCTGATGCTCACCCCACTTTGTTCCTTAAGCCTGGTTTATGCTTCTCCGTCAGCTCCGCAAGGGACAGACACGCACGGATTGACGGAAGCGTTTTGCTCTCATACGTCTCCGTCTCCTGGGGAGTGTTGCAAAGCAATTCCCCGGCAGGACAACAGAGGGTGTAGCGTTGTTCTGTGGTATCCTGTCGTATCCGGTGCAAGATAGTGTGTTCATATTGTTTTTTTGTATATAAGAGACTTTTTAACGCTGACAAATTTGTCTCTCATCCTCCTCCACCTCTTCATGCGCTCCCCACCTCTAAACCCACGTTTCCTGTCATTTCCTTCCACAAATAAAATGCTTGCTGCGCATCTTTTCACTCCTTCAGTTACGGGGGAATTAAACGTTCATGTTTTTAGAGTTTTTTTCGCGAGGTGTTCTTCAAGCTTCTCCGTGTCTGCCGCTAGTTATCCTCGGCTCTCTTTATGTTTTTGAGGGTGCAATGCCGGCGGTGTAGACGACAGCGGCGTACTGACCAATCGCAAGCTTGCGTGATCTGTCTCGACTGACGGATGTTTAGAAAAGAGAGCTCGACTCCGTCCGTCCTTGCGGAGCTCTCCGGCAGGCCCGCAAGGGCGTTGCGTGTCTCCGCACTGATGCAGACGGAGAAGCTTGAATCAGGCTTAACAAGCAAAAGCTGGAGGTTTTAGTTAGATAAGAGGACCACAGCATCCCAAAGAAATCAAGTAAATGTTTTCCAACAAAGTAAAATTCCCATTAGTCATAATCACACTCTTATGGACACTGACACCACCATGTCACTGAGGCCTAGTCCACATGTAGCTGTTTTTTTTAAAAACAAATATCCGCCCCTCCAAAAATTTGCATCCACACCACCTCGTTAAAAAAAAAAACACTGTCCACACGTACCCGGATAAATACGTTGTTAAGGACATGCCAGACCTGTAGGCGGCAGTACTTCCCCCGTTCTTAACCTCGTCCTTCGTCTGTGGTCTTCCGCAAGGGGCAGTAATTCCGCTTGCAAAAACAAACAAGCAAAAAGCGCTTGGACAGTAGATAAAGCGAGCACAGCTCTGAGGGCATCCATGCTGTCGGCTAGTGTAAACACAGGTCGCACACGTGATGTCAGCATTTTTTTTTTTTGTCGCGGAAAGTGACGTTGCGGACCTTAAAACTCCGGTTTTGTCTGTCCACACGCAGACACCCAAAATGGAGAAAACACAGATCTTCACTTTGGCCGGAGTTTTTAAAAAGATCCGTTTTCGTGTGAAAAAACTCAGTTTTCGCATGGATGACAGGCCAAAACGTAGAAAAATATCTACGTTTTGGCAGATCCCCGGCTACGTGTGGACAGGGCCTGAGTCTACAAAGGAAAACAAGCAGATCCTAATCTTTCTCTAAAGAGAAACCAGCCTCAATATTTTGTGACTACAGTAAAAACACAAAACTGTGTTAAAGACTCAACCGTTATGCTCCAGTGGATCTGTGGTCCTTTTTCTCACTACAAGCTCAGCTTTTGTCTTAGTAACATCTAAGCTTTGTTAATGAGATTTTTTTTAAATCCTCCCAAAAGTTTTTTTAAAACATTTTGCCTTTTGATTGTGGCAAAACCTGTCGGATAGAATCATCATCGTCATCATCATCATCTTTATTTGTATAGCGCTTTAAAAAAAACACAGCCATACGGCTGACCAAAGTGCCGAACAGTCACACAATAATAAAAATATAACACATGAAACAATAAAATGCAACCAAGAATACAATAACACAAGCCAAAAATAAAATAAGAGTTACCAGTAAAACCAATGGAAACATGTCTTCCAAGTATAGTAAAGTAAAGTAATAAAGCCCATCCAGCAGCTAACTGTTAAATGCAAGGGTAAAATAGAACGTCTTTAATCTAGACTTAAAAACCTCTAAGGAGGATGCCTGTCGAACTGTGACTGGGAGTTCATTCCATAGTTTAGGACCACCAACGGAAAAAAGTTCTTTCTCCACGATTTGTAATGCACTTTCGGGACCTCGAGGAGCAACAAACTAGAGGACCTAAGTGTGCGGCCGGGGGATTAAATTGAGAGAAGGTGTTATAAATACGCAGGGGCAAGACCGTGGAGGGATTTGAAAACAAAAAGTAGGAGTTTGTATTGAACCCTGAAAGTGATGGGCAAACAGTGAAGGGATCTGAGAACTGGTGTTATATGCTGGCGCCTGTTAGTACGTGTCAGGAATCTAGCAGCTGTGTTTTGAGGAAGTTGAAGTCGAGCGAGAGTTGATTTTGTAACACCCAGTAAAACAGCATTTGACTAGTCAAGCCTAGATGTGATAAAGGCATGAAAGACTGATTCCAGATTCTTTCTAGATAAGGCAGCTCTCAATTTGACCAGATGGCGGAGTTGGAAAAAGCAAGATGTTACAGTGGCATTAACCTGGGCGTCCATCCTTAGAGATGAATCCATCTTCACACCTAGATTTGTTACAACGGTTTTTAGATTTGGAGAAATGGAAGAAAGATCTGGGGTTTGAAATGCGCTAGGTCTGGCCGGATTAAACAGGATCAGTTCAGTCTTGGAGTTGTTAAGATGTAGAAAATTTGTGGTCAGCCAACATTTCACATCACGAATGCAATCTAAAAAGAGGCTGAATGAATTGCTGGGGTTTCACAGACATGTAAATCTGACAGTCATCAGCATATAAGTGATAACGAACAGAGTGTTGTTTTAACATGAAGCTAAGGGGAAGAAGGTAAAGAGAAAACAACAGGGGGCCCAGAATGGGTCCTTGAGGGGCCCCACATGAAAGCATGTGGCAAAACCTGTCAGAATGAATGAGTGAAATGGATTAGATGAATTCTTAAAAGATAAATAAAATAAAATAAACAACAAGTGAAGTGGTCTGCACTCCTCCAGGATGAACCCCACATCACTCCTGTTGGTAAGCGTTTAAAACATTAACGAATGTGATCGTGTACATTCACTCACTTGATGACTGAAACAGCTTAAATAAGGCAGAATCTTGTCTGGTTCTTTTTCAGCTCAGAGTAACGGCAACAAAGGCAGCTTACAACCAGCATGTGTGATGTATCTCCCTTCTATAATGTCCAGATCAAAGAAAAGGTTTGGATTTGTGGGAATCCAACATGTTTGCTTCGTGTCCTCTCAGTTCACATCGTTTTGGGTGTAAAGTCCTGAATCCAAACCAACACAGTCGTCAGTCTGCAGCTGATACTCCTTTGGATTAAAACTCTGATATGGCTTCCCAGCTGTGGTGTTCAGGTAAAGTTCCAGCTTTCCCCACAGGCCTCACAGACAAGCATCAAAATGTTGAACATAAAAAAAGAAACGTGGCCCATATTGTTAAAGGTAAAAAATACAGCTTCATAATAATAACTGTAATTTTAACAGTTGATAATCCATGTCTGAGACAGAACTACAGTAGTCCACCATATTTTTTTTGTCCTGAGACATGTCCAGCCAGCTTCTGGCTTCATTTTTGTCAGAGTTGGAGGATGCTGCGGCAT